AGCTTTGTTTATCATTTACTCAAAATGGTAAATTAATCTCAGAAGGTCATTTTCCTAGCTCACACCCCATATGCTTAAATAATTTAATAAAATAGATTAGAGATCAGTATCAAAGAACTTATATCCACAGTCCTTATAATGCTCCAATGACCCGGGATGCGATGCTAAAAGCAACTAAAATGGCAGCGGACATAATATCAATGGGATGAATGATATCCAAGCCACTCAAAGATATATGGCAGTTGCTACCCAAACTATTAATCAGTTAAAGAGGAGAGTTTAGATTATAAAATCAGAAAGGTTTTTTCAGTCATATACAATCAAATTTTGATTGTTACAATATAAATGTAAACTCGCGATATCGTGATTTACATATTATTTAGTTTAAATGTGCTGACTACATTAACAATTAATAATAATCGTGTAAAGTGAAGTCACTTGCCATCACTGCACGAAGTTGTTATCATGATATTATCAACAATTTAATAGATTTAAGAGATAAAAAAAAATATCATTAAATCGATTTGTTTAGACAAATAAAAAAAACATATGGGAACGAAATCAAGTCATGAGACACGAAATCATTTTGTATTTATTGATGTCATATCTTCAAATTATGAGTTTTGTTATGCCTTTTAATTTAAATAAACATGTGATTAAATTATCTGGTCTGATTAAGACGAGTTTTGGGGCAAATTTTTTTTTGACAAAAGATTGTGACCAGTTTGAAGTAACCAATCAAATTTATTAACTTTGCTGCGCCAAATTTGAATCTTGCTGTTTTTAAATTTATTTTCATCAAATCTCATTTGATAAAGAGGACCTATTGTTGAATATATATATCTTAATATAAATCTTTCTTCTTTTGTCACTTCTTAACATTGCACGTCATACGCACATATTTAGCGTTATGCTTTTCTAAAATAACTATTAGCCTAAAAAATAGAATATATTGTATTGTAATATGGACAAACCTTAAATTTTACATCCCATTAAAGCTGAAGTTTTGTAGCACGTAATTTTGGAAAATAAAATGCAACAAATACATAACTTAAATTATAACACAAAAAAACCTTTATATATATAAATGTTAATTATAAGCTATTTATAAATTTACAACAAACTATATGTATTTATTTTTTAATACTCAAATTCGTCGCTAAACTCATCATTATATTCATCTTCATAATCAATTTCATCAAATTCATCAAAGTCAATCCCTTCTTCTTCATCTTCATCGTCAAACTCTACATCTTCAACATTTTCCACCTCGTCAAAATTTACGACGTTATTATTACTTACAAATTTTGACCAATAATATTCACAATCTTGCATTTGATAATCTTTTATTCTTTCTAGATCATTTTCTAATTCTTTTCTTTTGTTTTCAATCCATTCTTGCCTCTCTTCCTCTACTAAAGAATCGTATTCTTTTTTTATTTTCTCAACGTCCTGAACAAAATAAAATTTATGACAATTTTCATGAAGATATCCGATATACTGCGTATATGGAACACAGCCCTCAATTTCTTCTGGTAAAGTTTCAAGTCTAAAGAAAAAAAAATTTTGAAAATTTTCAATAAAGTCAATAAATAAAGCTTGTACTTTCAAAAAAAAAACTTACTCTTCTTCTTCTATGATATAATCATCACTTGCGATGCAAAGATTGCAACAATTTATTTTAACAGACCATTTATCAAAAGCAGTAGTTTCATAAATTTCTTTACAAAATTGACAAGTTCTTTTGGCTAAAGTAATCCAAATGTATTGTTGTTCGCACATTCCATTAGGTGGTGGCAATTTGGGATAATTGGGATTATGCAATAATCTACAATTTTTCCAAATTGATTGAGTAAATTCCGATTCTGACCAAAGTAAATTCCTAAAAAATTTCGAAACTGAAGAAAGAGAATATAAGTCTGTGAATAACAGGTAAGAAAGTATTTGTGAATAAATTTCGGCTGGAAAATCAAATATTGTTTTTTGTTTTCTCAGGATTGGTGGAAGTGGAGGCGGTGAATAAATTAGTACTTGTTGTTCTTCTAATGTGAGTTCCTTTTTCTTGATTCCTCTGCGTTTATTCTAAAAATGTGGTTGGGTGTATCAATAACACAAATTGTACAAGTGAAATAAAAAAAATTTTTTTTTTACATACAATCCTTGGAATCCAAGACCGTTTTTTAGCTTTCAGACCGGTTAATAATTTATTCAATGAACGATTGGACATTTCTTTCGTATATACAGAGCAAAAAAGTATGTTCTTTTAATTTATTGATTATATAAGAAAATTTTTAGGAAATAAGATGATTTAAAATTAATGATTTTTCTTTATGGAATAATGTTGTCACTTTTTATATAGGATTTAAAAAAAACGAGTCCATAAACAGGATCTTTTTTATTTATATAAAAACAGTATGGACACACAAATTGTTGTGATTTCGGTTAGTAAACTCCGGGATGTTTGCCATAATTTTGTTTGCTGCGATATTCATAACGTTCAAAAAAGTTGATTTTAAAAAGAAGATTTTCGACGGACCTGAATGCAAGTTATGTTATGTTGTTTCCTTTCGTGGGCTCTGTTACTATACCAATTACAATCCGGATATTACTCTTTTTTTCGTATTACAACATAATTACCGTAATTTCTGCGAAAATTATGAAATTATGTTCGCGTTGTAACATTGATCGGCATAATTCTAGTTGTGAATTAAAGTTATGTTATTATAGTTATTATTTAGGAGTTTTATTGCATATTTACGCCAACTTCACAACCGATAATGGCGTAATCACGTCATATCCCGTGTTATATTGATTACAAAAGTAAAAAAATTATTTATTAAAATTTTTAATAGTATGTATATATATATAAATTAACTACTTATTTTTTTCATATAATTATTAATCAAATAATTTGTTTTTTTATAAAAATTTTAAATTTAATTATTTAATAAGAATTATATTTTACAAATTTATATTACATATCTAATTTATAATTACTTTTTTTAATTTATAAAAAAAAAATATATTAATATTTTTTGCTTATTGGAAAATTCTTATTTATTTAACCTAAACTTTTTATACAAAAAAATATATAAAACAATTATAATTTATAATATAAAAATTACTAAATTTTTTTAATAAAATAATTTTAAATAAAATTATTTTATGTTTTATCTAAAATCCTTAAATAACAAATTAAATCAAGTATAAAAAAAACTATATATAATTAATTATTAAAAAAATAAATCTATTTTCTTTTTTTAAAAATTAAAAGCATTTAAATTAAATTATTATTAATTCTTTATTACAAAGATTTAATAAGAATAATCAATCAGAATAAGACTTTGGATTAGTAGTTTCAGTATTATCTATTCTTTTTAAAATATCAAATACTGTTGATATGTTATAACTAATGATTAAGATAATAAAATTTAATAAATATTATTATATTGATAACAAAAAATATTATGCATTTTTGTTCTGTAATTAAATCTTAAAACATTTTCATTATATTCAGAAGATAAAGTTTATTTTTATTAAAAGTTAAAATAAACAAAATAAACATGCGTTTATTAAGTTGATTCATGTAAATAAGATCTAAAATATCACATAAATGCAATATTATTAAGTTATATAATATGGGTTGTAATCTAAGAAAATCAAGTTCTGAGAAATTTTTGACTAAATTAATATCTTATTACATTTTAATCTAAATGTAATAAATCTAAAATGCAATTAAAATCTAAATTTTGATAAAAAATTCTTAGAACTTGATTTTTTTAGATCACAACCCATATGTTTGATATAAAATATTACTTAAAAAAATAATATTTAAAGACTTTTGATGACACTCTGTAATTTAGTAAATTAACTATTGCTAATATATAATTTAAAGTTTTGTAAAAATTTTTATAATAATAAGTATAAATTATAAATTCAGAATGTAAATAAAGAATTATATAATTCTAGATATACATTAACTTAATATATCTTATATTTCTTCCACTCAAATATTGAGCTAATATATGATTAATTACTTGTATTACATTTGCTTTAATTTAGTAATAGTCTCTATTCCTTAGTATAGTTATTAGAGTTATTTGGTTAATAAAAATAGTAGTCTTATAAAAAATAATAATAAATTAAATGAAAAAATTTTATTTATAAACTACAGTTCCTGGTAAAAAAAAAAAAGGCGAAAACAGTTTTCTACAGTATGTATAAACTTTATTTTTAATGTTAATTTTTTTTATTTAAAAGAATAATACTAACAGAACATTTTTTATTAATTAATTAATATTTTGTGTATCTTCCTTCTGCATCAATACATGCTTGAATCCAGTTCAGTATACTATTAATACACTGAAATAATACACCGTTATCAAGATCATCCCATTCCTACCAGATTGTATTAAGAAAAACATCACAGATAAAATTTTTTTTGTCATCATACTCTTAATCCTTTTTTTCACCTTTCCTTTTAATAAAGACCATACATTTTCGGAAGGGTTCAAGTCTGGGCTGTACAAAGACTAAGAAATAACTCTTCCTGAAAGATATTTTTTCAAGTCATGCTGAAAGTCTTTGAGCGGTGTTTTAGATCATTGTTTTATTAGAAGACTCAATTATAACTGAGTAATATTATCGCATTATTGTACAAATGATCATCTAGAATATTTCAGTATAAATAACGGTCCAAATTTTCAGAGCATAATGGACATTCGTTATATCACGAGGTGATAAAATCAAATGTCGATCTTTTTTATATTGTGTAACATTTGATGTCAATTGATTTAAAGTAATAAAAAAAAGATGCAATATTTTTCAAAAACTAATTTATTATTACGCAGTTTTTTTTATTAATATATCGTTCGTTCCTTTTTTTACATTTGGGTAAAAAAAGATCATAGAGATCTTCGCAATAGCGAAACTTAGATGAGAGTTGAGGTTTTAAGGTTTTATTAATTAATATATATATAGTAAAATATATTTTACCAAGTTTTTATAAATTTTATAAAGCATTTTTAAAGTCTACCAATATTTTTTCTTTTATTATTTTTTCTTCTTCTTTTTCTTCTTCTTTATTTTCATTATCTAATATTTTATCATCTAATAAGCTATTATTAATATTATCATCTCTTTCTAATCTTTTTATATAGGATTTTACATTAAATATAATACTCTTTTTATAGAATTCTAAACAATAATTACACTTATTATTTCGTTCTGCATAACATTTGTAATGAAAAGCATGTTTACATATCAACATTGTAACTTCTTCTTTATCTAAACATTTAAATTTTTGATTACAATAATCACAAATATTATTAAATAATGGTTTAGATATATGATACCCTACAGGTAAGCATTTTAATTTTACTTTTTGATTTAATGTTATCAAATAATATTCATTCTTATTAATTTTTTTACTTTTTTCCAAATTTTTAAAGATTTGATGAAAATAGTTAATTAAGAATATACTTGTTTTATATTTTAAGTAATCTATAGTAGATTCTTTATAAGAATAATTTTTAAATGTTTTAAAAGTATTAAAAAATGTTTGATCATGTGATTCTAATACAAATGCTTGAGAGATTATAACATTTGAAAAATGTATTTTTTTCATATTCATTTATATCTTTTTGCATTTTTTTTATTTTATTTATTAAAAGATTAAAATTATTTTATATCAGACCAATTATTAAAATTTAATTTAATATTATTATCTAAATTTAAAAATTGAGATAATTCT